AAACCCCCCTTTAATATTCGGCTAATACCACACTCCCCCAGTCACCTGTTCGGACGGGAGCTTTAGCAAAGAACCACCTGGTTATTACACCTCCTTCCTGCATATATACATTAGTATTCATTTTAGTAAGCACTGGATAATGGTCACTTCCTACTGTGGAGTTATTCAAAACAAACCATTCGCATGTATGAACCAAACAATTTGATACTAAATTCAGATCCAGGCATGAGACTTTCCCCCTGTGAACATCTACTCTTGTGCCATGTCCATCATTAAGGCATACTAGTGTAATATATGGTCATATAACTGGGGATTCAAAATGTCAGAAAGCAAGTCATGCTACATGGTATTTACAAACAAACGCAAGATTGATGGCCAACAGCGAATATTATATGATCGTCCAATGACAAAGGTGAATGAGTTAAAATACCTAGAACTGTGGTTTGATAGCAAATACACATGGAAAAATGGATAGAATACAATATAAAGCATTGCGGCTGTGTATTGGAGCGATAAAGTCATCCCCTATCAATGCAGTTCTGATAGAAGCAGGAGAGACACCTTCTGGAGATCAGAAGAGAGAAACTTGCTCTGTCATACTGGGTCAGACTACAAGGAAGTGGAGAAGAAAATATTTCAAACAGAATATTACGGGATTGCTGGGAATATGCAAAATTCCAGGGACGTGGGTTTGGCTGGACGAGTAAGGAAAGAACGAGGGCATATGGAGTGGAGAATATCACGTTTGCCAAAGCAACCCCATTTAGCAGTGTTCCCCCATGGCTGTTCCCAGAAGTTAAAATCGATATGAGTATTGTAGAAAGGAAAAAAGAGTGGCAAATGAATGAAGTGTGAATTAAAACAAGTATGTATCTGAATGAAAAGTACTACAATTACCTACAAATGTATACAGATGGTTCTAAGAACAAGGAAGAGTGTGTTGGAGTTGGCATATACATCCCAGACTTTAAAATATCTATTTTAAAAAGAACATCTGATCAATTATCAGTGTATACAGCAGAAATGCTTGCTGTAATAATAGGATTGCAGTGGGTTGAAGAGGTCAGACCAGATAGGGTGGTTATATGTACAGATTCATTGTCCATATTACAAAGCATACAATCAACAACAACTACTAGAGAAGACATTCTCATAGAACTGAATCATAGCCTGTTAAGACTGCACAGAAGCGGCATAGATCTGCAGTTCTGCTGGGTGCCTGCACATGAGGGGGTGAAAGGGAACGAGTGTGCTGATAGATTAGCAAAAAGTGCACTACAAAAGCAAATAACATTACCAGTTCAACTTGGTAAAGGAGAAGGAAAAGCAGTCATTAAGAAGAAAGGGATGGAGATCTGGCAGAAAAGGTGGGAGAAAGACCAGAAAGGCAAGGACTATCACAAAGTACAAAATACAATTACAATTAATATTCATAAAGAAAGAAACAGAAGGGAGGAAATCATGATGGCTAGACTCCGAATAAATCACACGGCTTTGAATAGTTCGCTGTATATCATGGGGAAAAGTGACAGAAACAAGTGTGGGAACTGTGCAGTAAAAGAAGATGTAGAACATATATTGTTAAATTGTGACATCTATAAAGCGGAAAGAGAACAATTAAAGGCTAAAGTCTTAGAGGCAGAGAGGGAGTGGAGTGTGGTTGGTGTTTTGGGAACAAAAGGAGAGGGAGTAAAAGCTACCAGAAAGGCACTGTTTAAATTTTTGAGTGAAACTGGGGTAGGAAAAAGAATTTAACATTAGGTCAGGAAAGAACATAGATTTGTTTTGTTTTGTTTTATTTATTTAATGGTTTTATTGATTTATTTTTATTTTGATTAGAACATAGGTTAATGAGTTGGAATGATGTGATGATGCATACTCATGTACAGTAGGTGGCGGTATGCACCTTTTAAGTTGTTTGCAATCCGCCAAAAGCAAGAGAAGAAGAAGAAGAATTCTCTATGTCAAAAGGATATTTGAAAACAAAAAAATCATACGAATGGAAGAAAAATCTGTGAATTCATTTGGTGAATTTCTTTTTTTTTGGAAAAAAGTGTTGAGCACTTGTTTGGTAAGCCGGTGATGCTTTGCTGACTGGATAAAATGGGAGGTGGCACAGCCTGGCACCTGTTTCAAAACAACTCTGAAATGTCCGACTTTATGGTAAACTCGCTAACCCCTGTTTTCAAAAACAGGCTGAGTGTGCTTTCGGTAATCAGAAATACTCAACCTCTCCTCGCATATCGTTATCTACAGACAGAGTTTTGATTTGCTACATGTGAGAGGAAGGAAGGATGCACTCGCTGGACAATCAGTGAGTTCCCTCCCTACAATTCAAACAATTCTTGCACAATTATTTCAGCTGTCGGCATTGTTCTGTTAGAAAGTTGATTGAATCACAAGCTAGCTGATGGTTGAGATATTTTATATCATGTATAATATATATATAATTTCAATATATTTCAAGAACATGACTAAGTCCATAATAAATCCATCAGTATTTGATTGGTCTCTTTTGTGTTTCGGGTGTTTATTGGGGTGTGTCTTTGTGTCATTCCTCCACCCTTCACATGTGCACTGTCAATGCAATCTGCAAATGTCAAATACTGACTAATTTGATTCATATCTTTCTCATGGAAGTATAGTTCTATCGTTTGTTTTTGGTATCCATGGTCCTTAGAGACTCTTTCTAATGTATCCCTTAAGCTAGATCAATTTTACCTGAAAATAGTAAATGTGGTTGGAAAAATTGGTACAATATGTCTTACAATATAAAATCACCTGGTGTTTGCATTTATCATGTAATAATCATAATAAGTATTTTTGATGTAAGTCTATTATTTAATTTGAGTCGAACTGTTGAATTGTCTGCAGCTTAGCGCATCACAATCCTCATACATTTAGCATTATGTTTAGGTGAGAGGGTGTTTTGTGAGTCCATTTATGATCCTGTGATTCTTTAAACAAGTTCAACAAAACCCTGACAAGTTGAGAATTTGGCTTTCACCTGACTTGTAATATTTGCCAAGAGAAAGTGTTGCCTTTTGATTAGTGATTTGGTTGATGACATGGCATCCGTGACGCACCCTGTCACCTTCTCCCTGATTGGCTTTCCCTGCATTACCAAGACAAATAAAAGGAAATACATTGAAATGCCTTTTACGGGATCCTTGGTTTTGTGGTTCAGGTAAGGTTGATTTGCAAATATTACAGACGCATAAATATGCTTAAACAAACCACTCAAATATGGTTTAAAGCTAAATGTTGCTGTAACAGCTTGATTTTAGTATTTATATCTTAGAAGATACCCTTTGTGCTTTATTATTACAATTGTGAAATGCTCTAATGAAGGCTTCATGCTAAAAAATCTTTTATTTGTTAAAGTTTGATGAGGTAGAAAATACATTACATTTTAATACAATTTTAGTTTAATTATTGTATTAGTGTTGTCAAAGTGTTCACCTCTTCAATCTTATTCCCTTCTTCATGAATTTTTGAAGTGGGTTACATTGTGCCAAAATCCTGTCTCTGCCTCTTGTTAAACTCCTGCCTTCGGTTCTTTTCGGAATGATAACATGCTTGTTAGTTGTCAGACAGCCATCATTTTGTATATTCTTGGAAATGTAGATACTTGTTTTTTACAATTTGAATGTGTTTTTTTGTGTGTCTAAGATTGTGCTCTGTTGTTTTAATGCTATTGTATGGTTAACTTTGTCAATGTGTTTAAATTATTTCAGGTTCAACAATGGAAGGGCCGGTCTGCTGTCTGTTGGTTGTACTGCTCGGTGGTAAGTCAACAAAAGAAAGCACATTTTTTACTGCTATGAATGTGCTTATGTTTGAAAAATTGCCTCGTCGTAGTGGTATCACTTATAACTAGTACATACCATTTCTATATTTATATTTTCAGACTGTCAGGAGAACATGTCACTTCATTCAACATTGGTGGAAAATAACTTGATTATTTCTCTTATTAAGTCCGTACGTGGCAAAATTCCATACGAGGCAAAATTATGAATGTATTGTTTCTTTGTCCACCACACTTATTTGATGACTTTATTATGTATTTACAGCAAATTCATATAATGAATACTAAATTATAATCAAAAAAGTATATTAAGTGGCAAAAATCCGCTTATTAGCAACTTAGCAGCTGCATTAAAGCATTGACAACAATAATGCACCAATAATATCTGTCCAATGCTTACTAATATAATATACAATAGCCTAAAATGGGTGATTTTTTTTATCATGAAGAGTTTATCATTTGGTATTTTTTCATGCTCATACTTGTATCAATTTTATTTAAATACAATTCCGATTATTTCTACATTGTGGTATTTCTATGTTTACTAACTAAATTGTTCTCACTGGCATTTAAAGATGAAGCTCTACTCTTAGATTTTTCTGCTCACCTATTTTCTCATTTTTTGTGATTTCTTTCCAGGACTCTGTTCTGCTTCACCAGTAGGAAGAGAGTTTGCCACATCTTTCATGCAGAACCTTTACGCGGACACTAAAGATACTCGTTTCCTGGTTGAGGTCACTGCTCTGCCTTCTTCACAAGGCAGCACCAAGGTCAAGGTGTCTGCTATGGGTGAGGTCTTTGAAAAGGAAATTAGTCCTGGTTCGAGCGGCTCCTTCAAACTACCTGACAGTGTGGAGATGAGAGGCAGTGAAAAGTTCAATAAGACTGTGCTGATCGAGGCGAGCCAAGATATCACTGTGATGTCTCTCAACTTTAAGCAGTACACGGCCGACACCTCTGTGATTTACCCAGTGAAGGACTGGGGAACTGACTACTTCATATTCACTCCTAACAGCAACCTGAAAGGCACCTTTAAAGAATTTTCTATCACAAACCACAAGGAGCCTAACTTTGTTGAGATTTTACTACAGGGCTCTGTGAGATTCCAAGGGAAATATTACAGGAGACAAAGCAAGATGTCCCTGAAGCTAGAGCCGTTTGAGACCGTTCAGATTCAGAGTCACGATAACCTGAGAGGTACTAACGTAGTGTCCCGCCTCCCTGTCGCCGTCTCCTCCGGACATAGCTGTATTCAGAAGTTTACTGCCTGCAACCATGTCTATGAACAACTTCTCCCTGTAAACAGCTGGGGGAAAGAATTCATCATTGCACCCCTGCCCTACCGCAACCTATTTTCTACATATGATAGTGTTATCGTCCAAGCATCCCAGCACACTGAAATAAGCGTGAATTTCAATGGAAAGGTGCAGAGTTACCATATGTTTGCAGGACAAACTATCGAGCTCCAGTCTCAGTGGCCACATCCTATGTATTTGAAATCAGACAAAGGTGTCCAGGTGCTGTTTGAATTCAACGGAGGTCCTGATGACGTAGTCCAGTCTGTTGATCCCTTCCTGATGACTATACTGCCCACAAGTCATTTCAGCACCTCCTACTCCCTGGAGGGACAGGGAGATTTCTACAACTATATTATAGTTGTGGCTCAGAACAAACACCTGGATGGCATCAAAATTGACCCCCAGCCCCAAACTACAACGTTCAACTGGCGAAAGGTGGATGGGACTGATTACTCCTGGGCTGAGATGTACTATAGCACTGGGGCAAACTTCTATCAAATTTCTCACCCTGACTCTCCATTCGGAGTCTACAGTTATGGTGTCGCTAATGCTAATGGGTACGGATCCCCTGCAGCTGGTGACCCAGCAGGTAAAGATTGAGTCACAATATTATGAAATGAAATGCATAGAATAGCAAAGTTCAGTCGGAAACCGATGAAGGCTTTTTTAATCCCGCTTTCTCAGAATCACAAGTTTGTACTTTGTCATTCCGAAAACATGAGCTTTGTTAACTAGAGATAACGACATAACCAGCCTGATAGCACAAGAAAACTAAAGACCAATTTCTCAAGATAATAATTAAGAACTTCAATTAATCATCATAGTTGATTTGGAGGCAAAAGATTTTAACTACTAAATGTTTATTTAAAAAAAATATTACAAGAGATATGGCATTCACAATCGGCCTAACACAAGATGACTCAACAAATATCAAACAGTATAGCCTACAGTACTCAGGGCCGCCCCTCCCTACAGGCCGATCACGTAGACTGCGTGGGGCCTCACCTCGCGGAGGGGGCCTCATCTTGCGGAGGGTTCTTCATTTTGCGGAGGGAGCCTCATCTGAAGCGCAAATGCGACGCACCTACAGTCTAAGCGCGCCACAGTTTCACCGCTGCGAGGTTCCATTAGCACCCCCCCAATCCCCCCCCGTCGACGCTCGCGACACAGAGGGCCTCATAACTTTGCGCGTGGGGCCAAACCCTAAGCCTCAGGGGCGGCCCTGACAGTACTGTACAGCATAACTTAGTGCAGCTTAGCATAGTTTAGCCTTACATAACATATTATCTAAGTGCATGTATAATCTAAGTGCATGTATAATTTTTCTTCTAATTTTTCAGAGAGACATGACTGCAGTACCACAAAATGTTTAGAAGATGAGGTGTGCCAGATGAATGAAAAAAACTCAATAACATGTGTCAAAAAAACAGCCATTAAAGAGGGAACCTGCTGGGCTATGGGAGATCCTCACTACCGCACATTTGACGGCAACTACTACAACTTCATGGGCAGCTGCACCTACACGATGGCCAAGAACTGCCAAGTTGATGAGGACCACCCAGCCTTTGAGGTTGATGCTAAGAATGACAAACTTGATGGTTCAAAGGTCACGTTTGTTGGCAAGGTGATCATTAAGGTGTATGGGTACACTGTGACCATTGTGCGCTCAGAGTTTGGCCTTGTCAGGGTGAGTATAGTCTTTAAATAAACACGACTACTGTTATTACTCAAGGAGTCTTTGAAAAAAATATCACGTATTGAATTAAACAATGTCTCTCAATATGTTTTAGATGAACCACACATTGTGGAATCTCCCCATCAATCTGGGAAATGGGAAATTGAAGTTATCACAGAGCGGCATGTCTGTCGTTGTTGAGACAGACTTTGGCTTGACCGTGCAGTATGACTGGAAGCAGTATCTTGTCATCACAGTGCCGGGCAGTTTGTGCGGCAAGGTGTGTGGCCTGTGTGGGAACTTCAACAGCAAAAAGGAGGATGACTTGGTGACTCCTTCTGGCTCACAGAGCAGCAATGTAGCGGCCCTGGGAAAGAGCTGGAGAGTTCCTAATGTGACAGATGATGCTCATTGTCAAGACGAATGCTCGGGCAAGTGTGAAAATTGTGATGACGACAGCTTTTTTCACAGCATCACTTCCAGGATGTTCTGCGGTATTCTCAGCCACGCTATGGATGGACCGCTCAGTGACTGTAATTCTGTCATTGACCCGAAAGTCCTTCATGAGATCTGTTTGTTTGATATGTGCATGGGTGATGGGTTCAAGGACTTCCTGTGTAACACCTTGCAGGTGTACGCCGATGCCTGTCAGAGGGCCGGCGTGAAAATTCACGACTGGAGGCACTTCGCCCATTGCCGTGAGTAACCATAGTATTTGACAAATTTCGTATTGTTTCGGTTTCACCCACAATCTGTGATGGTAACATGATGCAATTTTTTCTGAAATAGCTCTACCCTCATGCCCGGAGAACAGTCATTATGAGTTTTGCGGAAAGGCCTGCCCTTCCACCTGTGAAAACCCAGATGCAACCGCAAAGTGCAACAAAAGCTGTGTGGAGACGTGTGTCTGTGACGAGGGCTTCCTGCTCAGTGGCACAGAGTGTGTCAGTAAAGCCCAGTGTGGCTGCTTGTACAAAGACAAGAGCCTCTACATAGAGTCTGGAGCTTCTGTCTTCACTGATGACCACTGTACAGAGAGGTGCACGTGCAACGGCACTACAAAGGAAGTGGATTGTGAGAAACCAGGTTGTCCTAAGGGGTATGAGTGCAATGTGGTTGACGACCTCATCGGATGTGACCCAATTACTTTCGCTGAGTGCAGCATGATTGGTGGCCCTCATTACGAGACCTTTGATGGGCATGATTACAGCTTCCATGGCAGCTGTGTGTATCAGCTGGCTGGGGTCTGCTCGAAAGATCCTTCCCTGCCACATTTTGAAGTTTATGTGCAGAATGATGCCTATGGTAAAAGAGTGGACTCTGGTGCAAAGCTGGTGGAGGTCAAATTTTCTGGAACTTCCATTATTGTCTCAAGAAAACACAAAGGCTTTGTCATGGTGAGAGACCCTTAAGCACATTTATCACAGGATGATTGCTATTTTAGTTTTTTTTAATGTATCAATCTTGTTTTGCAGATAAATGGAGAACTTACACACTTACCTGTCAAATATAAACGCAATTTCACTGTGAACCAGTTTAGTGACTTTGCTGAGATAAAGACTGACTTTGGCCTGCTAGTCTCCTATGACTGGCAATCGACAGTTCATGTCAAAGTACCAAGTACATATGAAGATGCAATGTGCGGTATGTGTGGCAATTACAATCACAACCCGAAAGATGACCTGCAGTTGAAGAATGGCACACAGGCTGAGTCTGCGGAGGAACTGGGAAAAAGTTGGAGGGTTGCCGAGATCCCAGGCTGTGTAGATGGCTGCAAGAACAGCAAGGATTGTCCCAGCTGTGACATCACCCAGAAAGACAAATATGAGACGGATAGATACTGCGGTTTCATACGAAATCCCAAAGGCCCCTTCAGTGGATGCCAAGGCACCATAGATCCTGAAAGACTTTTTCAGAGTTGTGTGTATGATGTGTGCCTTTACAATGGCAAAGAAGGCTCCTGGTGTAGCCATCTCCGCCGTTACACCATTGGATGCCAAAGCAGAGGAGTCAATGTGTCCCAGTGGAGAGCACCAGACTTCTGTCCCATATCTAAGATGAAATTCCCAACCAACAGTCAATATAAACACTGTGGCAATATTTGCCATGCAACCTGTGACAACAGGTTAGCTCCCTCTACCTGCAAGAAGCCCTGCCAGGAAGGATGGGAGTGCAAAGATGGCTTCCTACTCAGTGATTACAAGTGTGTGTCTTCTGACCAGTGTGGCTGCCTGTACAAGGGCAAAACCTATCAGCAGGGACAGAGTTTTCTGTCATCAGATTGTCAGCAAATGTTCACCTGCAGTAAAAATGGCACGGTAAGCTTTATATCCTTTTTTTAAATAGGTATTTATTTTGTTGAGGTTTAGTTTGAATGAAGGTGGTTTTATGGCGATCAGCAAACTATATTGACCATCTTAAAAAAAAGAAATCGACATGTAATGTAATTATGTCTGGGGATCACCTACATAACCTCGAACGTATGTTGCTGGGGGTTAGGCAGCGGGTTTTTTCCAATAAGAATTTAGCTCTTCAAAACACTTTACCTTATAGCTGATCTAAACATATCTCTGTTACACTAGATGCTTCATGAGAAACACTCTTGTGGGCTGTTTGAGACTTGTGTGCTGACCAACAATGTTGGATCATGCCATCCAGTGGGAAACGGAACGTGCCAAATCGCAGGTGATCCACATTACAACACCTTCACCAACCACACCTTTAACTTCCAAGGCACCTGCACCTACACCGCAGCTAGATCGTGCCACCTGGAGGGCTCACGGCTCAAAGCCTTCTCTGTGGTTGTAGAGAATGAGAAGTGGACAATGACAGATACGCCAAATGTGGCTGTAGCCAAGCTTGTTGCTGTGGAGGTGTACGGCACCACTCTAGTCCTCCGAATGAATCAACTCAGAACGATCATGGTAAGTGTTGAAGAATGTTTTGTCCTCTATTGATTAATTAAAGACTTTTAAAAATAAAATAAAGTATACTTATTTTATTTCTCAATAACAACAGAATTTGCTCAAACGAAACCTATAAAATAACACAGCTGATCCTTTTTTTGTCCTCTTCAGGTGAATGGCACCTTGTTAACCATTCCTCTTAACCTCAATGATGGACAAGTAGAAGTCTTCCAAGAGGGCTTTCACTATGCTATTGTAACTGACTTCGGACTGAAAGTGACTTACGATATGATCTACAAAGTCACTGTCACTGTTCCTGGCAACTACAAAGGCAAAACCTGTGGTCTGTGTGGCAATTTTAATGACAGCGAGCCAGATGCGTTAGAACTACCCGATGGAAAAATTACCAAGGACCTCCAGACCTTTGGAGCAGCATGGAAGGTGGCTGTGCAGGGGGTGGTCTGTGAGGATGGCTGCAGTGGAGACCAGTGCCCTAAATGTGACGCCACACTAAAAAAAATCTTTGAGAAAGATTGTGAAAGTATCACAAATGCTACTGGTCCCTTTGCTGCCTGCCACAGCCAAATAAATCCTGAGTCTTACTACAGAGATTGTGTCTATGACGTCTGTATGTCTCAGGGACGCAAAGACGTTCTCTGCAACAGTATCTCAGCGTACGTGACTGACTGTCAGACCATCGGAGTAAAGATTGACAACTGGAGGACGCCTGATTTCTGCCGTGAGTACTGCTGACTGTATGATAAATGAAACTCATATGCTAAAGGTTCGCATAGACCATCACTTTTAAATGCAACAAGTTAAAATGTAACTCTTTATAACATGATTTTCTAATCCATTGGGTTTTATATTTGTAAAACTAGCCTTGAGTCCAAGAAAAGATATTTAAACATTTTAAAAAGTTGTCTAGTTTTCTCTTTACACACCATGAATTTACTGTCATGCTTTTGTGGCTTCAGTTAATCCTAAATGCTTTCTTTTGTAGCTATTACATGTCCTGCAAACAGTCACTACCAGATCTGCTCTGAAACCTGTGGCTCTCCGTGTCCTGGTCTCACCGACACCATCAGCTGCCCCGCCACTTGTGCTGAAGGCTGCGCCTGTAATGAAGGATACTACTTCAATGGGACAGGCTGCGTTGACCTGGACGAATGCAGTTGTTACCACAATGGACGTACCTACAAGGTAAGGTATCCACTGTGAAGTTTCCAAAGAAAGCTGTATGTCTTAAGGTTTAATACCTGCTTTCCAGGCAGACATTGGCAGAAATGGTAGTTTACGCCTGTAACATGTCTCTACACTAAGCTAAGCACCTGTGACATTCGTCTGAATTGGTCTTAAATAAGGAACACGTGTGTGGTAGCTGATGTTAAACAGGAATGGATCAGGCTCAATAGCTCAATATAGCCCACACTGATCTGGTTAAAAATGCCTTTTTTGGCCCCAATAATGACATTTGAGATTGCATCCCAAATGTAAACTCATGTGACAAATATAGTTGATTGATTGACATTTTTTTATATCAAAGTTACATTCCCTGGAAATGCATTGATATACACTGGCAAATTAAAATGAAATGATGTTCAATTAGCAGGTAATGGACTCATCTCAGCCATACCCTTCATTTATCTATACCTATACAAACATTGCATGATGATGTTTACACTATAAAAATATGTACTGGTATACATACAGTTATTTGATTATGAAAAATAATCTCTTTAGTATTTCACGCACTGCCCATCCAATGTACTAAAAAGAAAATACTTGACATAGCATTGAAATGTCATTTGCAACTACATTAGGTTGCACAATGCTCAGACTGTTTCTGCTTTACTCTCTTCTTTAGATTGGCCATACTGTGGTATCTGACGACTGCCAGCAGATCTGCAACTGTACAACATCTGGTGAAGTCGAGTGTGAGCAGTTTTCATGCGGTGTTACGGAGAAATGCCAGCTCAAAAACGGTGTCCTTGCCTGCCGTCCCAAGGAGTGTCGGATGGAGACGGGAGGCTTCATCACGCTCTTCAGTGGCACCACCGGCACTATCTCTGTCATGGGAGCTTATGAGATCATCACACACTGTGATGAATCAGCTGCCGACTGGTTCAGAGTTGTGGCCAAGCTCCAAGAGTGCCCTCTGACCGGAGTGAAGAGCGTGGTTGCCGTTTATGTCTTCTTCAATGAGCTGAGTATCACCGTCACTGACAGACAGGAGACCTGGGTTGGTATTTCTAAATGTTTCAAAAATGATTAGGGAATTAGCTTTCCTGTTTAGAGTTACATGAGAAAGATTGGTACCAGGGTTTTGTGCAGTTTGGAGCAGGGTAATTCTGGAGGCTGTTTGTATCTTTGAGGTAGCAGAGACTTGGAGATCAAAGCTCCCTGCTGCCAATTAATAGTCCAGCACACTTTATACAGACTTAACAAACTAGATAAAATGTTTTAATTAAAGAGCTTTCGTGGTGCTGGTAGCCAGATGTAGTAACATTTTGTCGGAACCAGGCTAGATGATTCCTCCTGTTTTAGGTCTTTATGGTATGCTAAGCTAACCAGCTCCTAGCTCCAGCCTCAAATTAAACACAAAGATAAGGCTGGGTTGATTTTCCCATCTAACTCTCCTCAATAAAGTGAGTGATCCTATTTAGCAAATTGTCAAATGTTATTTGCGCTTATACGAGATGTCCCCGATATCTGAACCTCTCATTCAAAATAAACAATATAAATCTCTTGCTGTTTACAGGTCAATGGTAAAAAGCTTAATGACTCCAGCCTGACAGGAAATAATATCTTTGTGAGACGTGATGAGAAAACTGTGATTATCGAGCAGATGTCACACTTCCAGCTGTCTTACAGCAATTCCCAGGAGCTCATTGTTACTGTGAGTGCCAGCATAGTGGACAACTTGTGTGGAGCATGTGACAGATTCATAGCCTTCACAGACACCATGGGTTTCTCACAGTTTATGATACAGGAGTATATGGCCTCGTTTTCTGCACAGGACTTCCCTACCTGGTGAGTAGGATACAGTGGACTCAATGTCATAAAAATACTACATTTTTACATTCCTTTTATTTTAGGGATTATTATTATTAATCTGTAAAGATTAATCAATCCACATACGAAAGACATTTCTGAATACAGTAACAATGTGAGTTCTGGTGGATCCACACATTAAAAAGTGTATTTGTTTTCTTTTTTCAGTGAGTTATGAAGAAAGCATCCTCTTCTCCAAACCCAGAGATCAGTGCAACAGTATCATCATCTGCAGAAAATTCAACAATAAATTAGCAGTGAAAGCTTTATTTCCAATATGGTATTAGTGTTAATCATACTTTTTAAGCTTTTAATGAAATTATTTGTAATATAATTGCATAATAAACTTCATGCTCAACGCAGAATTGAGGTCTGGCTCTTGATTTATTTTGTAAAGTTACAGAAAATAATTGGAGTTTGCATGAAAATGTACATTTAAGCAATAGCTCACGACAGGCCGTGGTATATGCTCATTATATCACAGCTAAGGGGCGTAGTTCGGCCCGACGCGAAGCGGAGGGTCGACAACCCCCTTAGCTGTGATATAATGAGCATATATCACGGCCTGAAGTGAGCTATTGCTTTTATAAAACGGTTACCAAGTGTGGCAATATGAAAGAAAAATACACACTCTAATTTAAATAGTTTTTATCAGTAAATAATGATGTTCAAAATAAAATGGTGCCTCCGTTGCCTTCTGCACAAAACATAGTGCAAGGTGGTTGCTATGCAACAACACTAACAGCAAGCGAACATATTAGACAGAGAGCGTTGATCCATTATTTGGCTGTTTATTTACATTAATGTGTATGTTGCTGTTTATTGTGCATCCACTGAAAAACTGTCCAACATCAGTAGCATTGCTTACGTGGTCACTTGTATATTTTGGGTCATTCTATGAAAACGTGCCATTTTCCATTCTGAAAATCAGATTTTCAAAGTATTACTTTTATTGTCTTTAAGGACTTGTTTGGTTTGAGTAGACTCTTACCTGTCAGAAAAATATGTGGTGCCATCTCAGGCTATCTTATTATTTATTACTTTTTCTGAAAATGAATCAACATACAAATATGTGTTTTGTCATCGCGTTAGCCCAACACCAAATGGTTATTGGTAAGTATTTGAAAGTGACAATTTCAAATTAAATCTGTTGTATTAATGAAAGATACAACTCATCCCTGGTTCACATCAGAGTTGTGTAAAATGAAAATAACAAGGAATATATTTTTTTTTTTACAATGGATGGAATATGCTCAACACATTTGGCCGAAGCCACTGTAAAAGTAACTTTTTAGGAAAATCATGAAGAAAGGTATATGTTTTTTTTAATAAATCTTATCCAAAATCCTCCTAATGGGGGGAAAGTATTGTTAATTATTTTAACTTAACCTTAAAAATAAGATTTATATTTGGGCCTTTTTTTTTATTTATTATATATTTAAGAGTATTCAAGNAGTCCTCTCCTGCTGATGTTCAGGTGTATATCAGTATGTAGTGTCTCTACTTTAAAGAGTCCTCTCCTGCTGATGTTCAGGTGTATATCAGTATGTAGTGTCTCTACTTTAAAGAGTCCTCTCCTGCTGATGTTCAGGTGTATATCAGTATGTAGTGTCTCTACTGGGACATGTCTCCTTTAATGTTCAGAAAGCTCTTTATTCTTCTCATACTGTCTGTGCTGCAGCACCTCTTTTCACCCTCTGTCTGAAACCAGAGCCCAGTCTGCTCTGATTGGTTAGCTGGCCGGCTCTGTTGTGATTGGTCAACCAGCTTAGAGATGTCCCGCCCCTTAGCCTTATCACATACAATGTGTTGGAGCGCTTGCCAATGCAAAAGTGTTACATAGTGATGTCACTCTGGGGGGTACTTTGGGATTTTAGCCTTTGCAGATCATTTACATGCACAGAAATATAACACACTGTTGGAAGGGGAAAACCCCGAAAAGCATAACTTGGCCTCTTTAAAATAGGCCTTCAATCCATATTTGTTGCCGCAAACACACGTACTGCTATGGTAACAGCATCAACGTGTTGTTGTTGTTCAACAGGGATAGTCCTATAACTTAATTACATCATGGGTTCAGTTTAACCCCACATGAAGCAAATGACAGATCCATTACAGTTTCAAAGTCCGACTTGAAAACAACCATAAATCGATCTCTGTCTGTGAGACTTTGGAACAATCTATCTGACAAGCTCAACTCTAACGCTATCAGCTGTCAATCATTTCTTAAAGCCTCAGCTGGTACTGTCAGTACAGCAGCAGCACAATGAAGTCACAGCCTCAGTCAAATAAACACTGACAGCTTGGGAAACTATCAAATTCAGCTTGATATGATTAGAGAGGGTAATCAATATTATACGAACACTTACTGTCAGATCAGGTCTGAAAAATGCTCCATTTACCACATCAAGAAGGACAAATATTTAAGACAAGAAACAGACATTAAACATACTATTAAAATCACTGACAATGATAGGATTAAGACCCTTTAACGTTCATTTGATCTATGATATAATTTGATTATTTACTGCTGCACATAAGAGTCCAACCTTATTAAATGATGGGACCTAATTTCTCTGATTTCATGGAAACAATTGAAGTTGTCTTTTTCGGAAATGGTTGGGCTCAGAGATGATGTTAACATGTTATTATGTTAGGCTGGTCATGTTCCATCGGCTCTCAAAACCCTAGACCCAGATGTCCTCGCCAACTACAGGCCCATCTCCAACCTCCCACTTCTAGCCAAGGTGCTGGAAAAAGTAGTTGCTGCCCAGCCGCAGGACCATCTACAACTAAACGGCCTCTTTGAGAAATTCCAGTCCGGTTTCCGTTCCGCCCACAGCACTGAAACAGCTCTGGTCGGGGTCACAAACGACCTGCTGATTGCGGCTGACACTGGATCCCCATCTCTCCTCATCCTCCTGGATCTGACTGCAGCATTTGACACTGTCGACCATAACATCCTCCTTCAGCGCCTCGAACACACCATCAGGACTCTCTGACTCTGAGATTTCTGAGAAAATACAACCACATCACCCCCGTTCTTCATTCCCTCCACTGGCTTCCTGTCTCATTCAGGATCGAATACAAGATCGAACTACTGACCCATCAGTGCATCCACGGGAACGCCACTCCATACCTGAAGGAACTTCTCACATCACAAACCTCCACACGCAACCTCCGCTCCACAACTAACCATCGGCTTCGCCCCCCGAGGACCAAACTCCACACAATGGGGGATCGGGCTTTCTGTGCAGCTGCTCCTCACCTGAGGAATTCCCTCCCAGACCACCTGACTCCACAGGCCTAAAAACCTTTCTTTTTAAAAAAAAGCCTTTAAAGGTGGGGTAGGTAAGTTTGAGAAACCGGCTCGAGATACACTTGTTGTTATATTCCATGGAATGCTCTTAACATCCCGATAGCAATGAATATCTGAAGTGCTTTGACAAAAAATCCATAAAGAAATGTCATCTGTGGAAGCCGTAGCGCTGTAAAAAGCACAACCAATCATCTGAGCCGGCCCGGCTAAAGTAACTGGATGGCCTACCTGCCTGTCAGTCTTCCATCTGTGCACAAACTTATATCGTGCCCTCATTGGTCATGTGCGCGTTCGTGTGTTGGAGGATGTGCACAGATGGAAGACTGACAGGCAGGTAGGCCATCCAGTTACTTTAGNATTTTTTCGACTAGAACCGCAACTTTCCAACCAATGGTCGACAATTTGATTGAGTAGTAACAGCATGGTGTAGACCACGCCAGAGCAAGAGATCAGGACTTTTGGTCACTCGTGAGTAGAGAGAGGTATCCACTGATTGTGTCATGTGCGCTTAAACTGAAGGCCTACTTTGGCTCCACATACTTATGTGAAACGGCCTTTTCACAAATGAAAATAATTAAATCCAAGTATAGAACTCGTATGACTGACGCACATCTTACTGACTGCCTCCGGCTGGCAATCACTAACTATCAGCCAGATTTCAAAAGGCTTACAGATAATGTGCAGTCACAGCAGTCTCATTAAAGGCAGGCTGATAGAGCAACTTGAGCATTGAAAATATATTGTGCATTGAACAGAGAAACTTAATATGGATTACATTGAACTGTAGGCTAATGTCTGTACATGTGAATATTACTAATTGAACTGAGAAACTAAATATAGTGCATTCAACAGATACTGTAAATATTAATAGTTTGTATTGAACAGATATGCCTAACGTAAATATGAATATTGTACATTGCACAGATAAATGTGCATAACTGTGTCTTTCTTTGTGTGCATCTTTACACGTACATTGAGCCTGTTGTAACATAATTGTTTGCAAAAATAAATATGACGATGAATAGTCTTACTCCTAAGTGTTTTTTTTGGAAGATATCGGATTGGTAGATCTCGGTTTACATTTTGGAATAAAAAGTGATCTTGGGCTTGAAAAGGTTGGTTACCACTGCTCTATATTATTAGCAATGTGATAACAAACGATTTTCTTCTTTCTGAGACATGTTTCCACCCTGCCTTTCTCCGTCCACTTGTTTCTGCTGCTTTCTGCTGTCTACATGTTTTGCACACTGATGTTGTCCCTTCAGCCCGGGTGAGTTCATGCTCTTCACGTGTCTCCCCCTCCCTCTTTCTGAGCAGACCGGTTGTCTGATGGAATGTCACACTGCTAGAACATTCAGTGAAGCTGACGTAAGATAAATGTACGGATGATAACGGGTTATTTTGCTCCCAATAAATAAAGGGATCTGAATATAGTGTGGAGAGGCATTTTGAAACAGCTGATCTATCTGTAACTAATCAATGGTTCTGGGGTCTCAAAATATAATATATTAGGAATATTAGAATCATCTAAAAAATAAACTCCTCCTTTAACAGCTGCTCAATGCATTAATGTAGCAATAGTTGTAACAAAAAAAAGAGAATATTTCTGAAACTCTAAGTACATTGATGCCAATACACTTTTATTATCACACAGTGGTATGTGGTATTCCTACTGTAAAAGAAAATATCTCACTACACCTCCCATCTGCGACACTTTTCTGATATCAATGTAATGACAAGGTGAAAGAGTTTCAGCTCTTTGTTTAACTGTCCGGTCCTTCTCTCTTGCAGTTGAGTAAAGAAAAAAAAACACACAACGCAACACACTTTCTGCCCCTCACCTGCAAACAGGCACAGTGACAAGCTGCTGAACACAGTGGAGCATTGAGCAGTTTAAGACGGTCTTTTTTAATGTATTACTGAGGAGGTAAAAACTGTAGGTTGGGAAACACGAGTGAGCTTTACTTTGCTATTTATGGACAAAAGACTGACACCTCACTGCAATACATTATCTACTCAGGTCTAACAAGCCCGACAGGCTTTAATACAATGGAGTGAAAAATGATTGGATTTTTGCTCACACCTGTTTCCCAACCAAAGGACGGGTTGGAGCAATTTTATGTGCAACTAGCCAACTATTTTATCTTAGTTAGTTAACAAGTTAATTCTCTAATACAACTGCAGTGTAGTTCTCTTCCATGTTTTAATTTCATTGCCATTATCGGTCTCATCATTTCTCTTTACCCATGAAAACAAGTCTAAATATTACAACAGGACAGGTTTTTCATTACTAATTGAAGGAAACTATCATTCATTTATCATGTGCTTTTTTTGTTGCTATGAAAATAACTTAATATATTTATAAAATGCACTGTGCTCATGAGCAAATTGGAACATATATTCAAATGGAGAATTTTTTGTCACGATCCTAATGTTATGTCACGTTTTTAGTTTTGTCTGTCTTTTTATGGGTGTTATTTTGTGATTCTGTTCTCCCTGTCTCTTGTCTTCCTTCCTGTGTTTTTCCTCCTGTGTCTGATTGTCTGATTGTGTTCACCTGTTGCCCTTGTGTTTCTACCTCCCCTGCCCAGCTGTTTCTCGTCCCGTGATTACCACTCTCTGTATTTAGTCTTTCCCTGTGTTCCCCTGTCGGTTCATTGTTTGTTTTTCCTGTCTTCCTCCATGTCAGTCACGGTCAGATTTTCGGGTATGTTTCTTCCTTGTGCTACCGTATGTTCATGTCATGTTTTTTGTCATCGGCTTTTGAATAAAGCTCGCTTTTTGTTTATAGACCTTTTTTACCTTTTTTGCAGTCTGCTTTTGGGTCCTACCTTTTTCCGCGATTCGTAACAGTGATCATAACATTTTTTCAAGCCACATTTCAGCAGACTTGTATACATATGACTTTGCACTGAAGAGTCAACACGTTTAACTTTTTGGGTTGAGCAAATGTGAAATACATCATTAAAAAATGCATTGTCAGAGCTGAAAACAGGACTGCTTTTGCTAAACAAAACACTCTCATAACATTGAGATGTGAATTACTGTATAACAACTGCTACTGATATAGTAAAAACATGTGCAAACATTGCCTCAACCTGTTGTATTGTGCTCCTGCAGATTAAACAAAACGATAAGATAAAATATGAATCTATTTTCCTTACACAAAACATATCACACAGGGTAGAAACTACCCGGCATGACAGCAGAAAGGAGAGTAGTCACGATAGCATTGAGAAAAATGCATTTCAAACAACTCACACCCACCCATTGTTCTTGTAGGTGGTGAAAAAACAGACACAGAGTCAACTAATAAATCATATCTGTTGAAAGCTTTACTATAACACTGTAAAGTCAAATCGATGGGCACAAAGCCAGCAGACCAATCACATACAACAAAAGGCACGCAGTAATCATTATTAAATGGACCTCTATAATAATCACAGTGGTGTTATTCTGCAATATGATTATTTTTTACTCTTTTACCACATATTGCTTGTCCTTATGAATTGGTTTTCATTGTAGATTAGTTCATTTGTGACCTGAAAATATTTCATATAGTGAACTTTATTCAATTATCATCAGTCAGCAACACAAACGCTTTAGAGAGGTGTCACGTAATGTTTTGTTTGCTCACTTCAGGGAAAAGCCATACAAAGAGGAATCTGATTGGTACAGGTCAGTAAGTATTTAAATCCAGCACCTGTAGCCCTGAATGCCTGCGGACCAGCTCAGGTGAGAATTATTAGGATATCTGAAGTATTGGGCGATAAGTACTATTGACTTTTTTCCTATTCTAGCTATTTCTTTAAACGATTTGTCTGCACATTTTTATTTTCTCAGCTTTTTATTGTTTTTTTAGATGCTGATTGGAGAAATAATGCTTTTTGTTATTTTTCTTGTTATTACATTGTTTATATTACATTGATTGTGCCCTAACAAGCCTGACATGTATTTTTTTTTAAACAAATATAATATGATAGAAAGCTTAAAGGTCAACATTTTAAAAGGGTTTAATTGGGCTTACTCATTGGTTGTAATACCTCCTTTTGTTCTGTTAGCTCCTCTCCACTGACAAACATGGGGTTGTTTGTTGTACTCTTTTCAGCTCTTCTGCTGAGTGGTAAGTTATCAAGAATTACTTTCAAAATAATGATACTTTTTACATAAATGAGTCATTTCAGTCATTTCAGTGCATTATGAGTTGAAGTAGGTCACAGCAAAATGAAAACAAAAATAATCTTAAGAAAATAGCTTGGACCGCATTTCAAATTGTTCACTATTAATAATAAAAAAAGAGAAATGGCAAGACATAAATTCTCCTATGAAGGCTTTAAATCATTTAAATAAAACATTTTCAAATACAAAACCTTATTCAAAGAGCTAAATGATATGCTTGTTTTGTTATTACTATAAAGTGATTCATATAATAGATCTGGATATACTAATGTTGTGTAAATGTTGAGTTCATGCATGCTGATTTTATTCTTGGCCAGAGTTTTTAGAAGTCTGACTCTGTGTGATGTGTACTGAACCTGTTTATTAAATCTCAAAGACACAACAGTTAGGATAAACAAAAATGTTTCCAGGATTTTGCAGAGGAGGACCAACGACTACAACACCACCGTCAGGCACCTGTTGGGTCATGGGCAGTCTCTACTACACCTTTGATGGCCATGACTACACCTTCACTGGCAACTGCACCTACACCTTTGCAAAGAACTGCCATGTTGATGAGACCCTCCCGGCCTTCGAGGTGGCGACCAAGAACCTGATCGAGGGCAGCGTGCAGGTCCCATCGGTGGAGACGGTCACTGTCAATGTTTACGGGATTAACATCGAGATAGTTCGCAATGAATATGGCATTGTTCGGGTGAGACAGTCAAAGATTTCATGTTTCTGGTGTTGGCATTTTGTGAGAGCTGATGACCTTTGTGTTTTTAGTGATATTGGTTCCATATATTTTATATTTTATTTAAGTACAGTAGAGGTCATCTCTTTGTTATATTGGCATTTTGAGGGTTTTAGCAACACATGATGGGTGTTAAATTGGCAGATTAAAGTATTTTTAAAAAAAAATCCATATTTGTATATGTTTTCTCCAGTAGTCCAAATAGAAAAATAAATATGCTGAAAGCTAAAAAGAAAAAAGAATCATGTTTTTATGTCTACTTTTAGGCCCCAAAAGGTTATACATAAACAAAGGACTGTGGAAAAGCTTAAACATGACATTTTCTTGTTTGATAATAAACCAAAGGGTCATTTCCCAGGTAGCCGTAAGAATACAAATGTAAAATCTAAATCATTTATTCAATGACCCTTTTGGTCAATGATAAAAAAAATGGTGTTGGTATGTTGAGGAAAGTGATTTCAGGGCTGTAGTCCTCTAAGCAGCAACTATTATTTGCCTTGACCGCCTTTCCACTTTATGACTGCCTTTCCATTTACAATTGCATCAACAAAAAACCAAAAAAAAATCATGTGCGATGTGGACTGACCAATTGTTCTCTCTATTTGTTCAATTGAAATATGCTTTTATTTTCAGGTGAACTATCAAGAATGGCAGCTCCCGCTCAACTTGAACAACGGCCAGGTTAAGCTTTCCTTGAAAGGTCTGTATGTCGTCATGGAGACAGACTTTGGCCTGATTGTGCAGTACGACTGGGACCAGTACCTCGTCGTCACACTGCCTGGGAGGTTTTCCGGCAGTGTGTGTGGCCTGTGTGGCAACTTTAACAACAAAAAGGAAGATGACCTCACGACTCCCAGCGGCTCTGAGGCCAACAGCATGTCAGAGCTGGGACAGAGCTGGATGGTTCCCGGTACCGATGTAAATTGCCAAAACGGTTGTGGCGACGATTGTGCCAGCTGCTCTCTCGGTTATGTTCAGAAGTTAGAGAAACAAATCTTCTGTAGCGCCCTTATACAAAATTATCAAGAACTTCTAGGTTGTCTACCTGACATTGACTCCAACCTCCTGAAAAGTAACTGCATGCTGGACCTCTGTAGGGGGGAAACGGTGAACACATATCTCTGCACCACTATGCAAGGCTTCGCTGACGTCTGTCAGAGGGCTGGGGCCAAAGTAGGCTCCAGCTGGAGGACATCCACTCAATGCCGTGAGTAATCCGAAGTATAAAGACAATACTGTAAATAAATATTAATAAAATAACAAGATAATTTACTTAGGTTGGCATACTTGCTTTTCTAAATTGGTATTTTCCTTAACCTGTCACTTTTTTATTTAATTCAATTAAATTTAATATGGAAGTATCCTTAGTTACAACTAAGATTGTTTGCATTAAAAAAACATGAAACAAGGCTACAACTAACCATTTCTTTTATTATTATTGATTAATCTGACGAGTAATTTTAAGAGTAATTGTTTGGTCTATTAAATGTTAAATTATGAAAAATATCCATTCAAGTTTACAAAGTGACGTCTCTAAATGTCTTGTCGAGTCAGTCATATATATATTGATTATATTGAGAGTATACGTGTGGCATTAATAACTTCAAAGCATCTCAATACTTCTTCCAAGACTGATAAAATGTGAATAACTGAATTTAAGGGGAGGACCTTTCTTCTCTTTGTCCACACAGCTACACCCAAGTGCCCAGAAAACAGCAACTATGAGTTCTGTGGGAATGGCTGTCCTGCTACATGTGCAGAACTTAACCCTCCTGCAAAATGCAACTTCACCTGTTTGGAGACGTGTGTCTGTAAGGAGGGCTTTGTGCTAAGTGGCACCAAGTGTGTTCCCAAAGATCAGTGCGGCTGCGTATACGAGGGTCACTATGTGGAGGCAGGAGCCTCCTTCTGGGGGGATGAGACTTGCACCAAACGCATCACATGCTCCGCCGGTGGAAGTCTGTCCTCCAGTGAGACTAGCTGTCCCGCCGGGCAGCAGTGCCGAGTGGTGGAGGGGATCAGAGGCTGCAATCCTGTCAACGAGGCCACCTGCATTGTATCTGGGGACCCACATTTTGTGACCTTTGATGGGGAGCGCTTCAACTTCCAAGGCACTTGTTCATATGAGATGGCTGGAGTCTCCTCGAATCAAACCGACATGGAACATTTTAGTGTCATTTTGCAGAATAATGGTCAGGATAAGAAGATTGGATCCGTTGTCAAGGTGGTTGAGGTCCAAGTGAACGGGAACACCATCATCATTAGCAAAGATGACCCTGGCGCTGTTGTGGTAACATATTTTCCAAAGACATATGCTTGTTGGGCTACAACTGATTGTTTATGTTTTCACAATCAATAAATGGTCAAATTATCTTCATACAGTACATAAGTTATTCATCCTTTAAAACAATGACATATGTCCATATTTCTATATTTTAAACATCTAAAAGCTTATGTCATTGCATTAATGGCGGTCCAAAACCCAGAGATATTTTCAGTTTTATTCCAATTACTTTATGAACCTTTTCCTTTGTCATTGTGTCTTTTAAGGTCAATGGTTTGCGCTCCAACCTCCCAATGACGCTGAACAGCAATAAGCTCCATCTTTATATGAGTGGATGGTTTGCCGTAATCGAGATGGACTCCGGAGTGAAGGTGTACTACGACTGGAACAGTGTAGCATTCGTTATCGTTCCCAGTACATACATGGGTGCAATGCAAGGCCTTTGTGGCAATTACAACCTCAACCCCAAAGACGACATGCAGATGAAAGATGGCAAACAAGCAACTTCTTCTGAGGAGTTGGGTCAAAGCTGGAAAGTCGCCACGATCCCCGGCTGTGTAGACGGATGCAGCGGTCCCTGTCCCGGCTGCAACTCAACTCAGAAAGACACCTACAACAGCAACAGTTACTGTGGCCTCATCAGCGACCCTGCAGGCCCCTTCAGAGACTGCCAGGCCAAGGTGGACCCTGCCGGTTTCCTCAACGACTGCGTATATGATGTCTGTCTTTACCAGGGAGGTCAGAACATGCAGTGCAAGACTTTGACCGCCTACACAGCCGCCTGCCAGCTGCAAGGTGCCACAGTGTACTCCTGGAGGTCCGCTGAATTCTGTGGTAAGGACATTAACTATTTATCACGCCATGTTCTTGTGATTTTCATGCTGCTAAGTTCATTCTGATCCCGCAATCTTCCTAGCTGCCCAGTGTCCATCAAAAAGCCAGTATGAGCTCTGTAGCAGCGGCTGTCCCCGATCTTGTCAGAAGGACTGTGGGGCTCAGTGTATGGAAGGATGTGTCTGTGATGAGGGTTACCTGATGAGTGGAGGTGAATGTGTGCCTGCCAACCAGTGTGGATGCACATATGAGGGACAATACTACCAGCAAGGACAGGTCTTCTACCCTGACACCCTTTGCCAGAGCGAATGCACCTGCAACGGCACAGTAAGGATGACATGAACGGAGAGTGTATGAAGGAGTTATATGTGATTAGTATATAAAGATCTGTTTAGGGATCATTTTTCTGTTCATTTTAACACTTGACAATGATGAAGCGGTTTGTCTTTCATAATAGGTGACGTGTAAGCAGTCTTCTTGTGGTCAATTTGAGACGTGTGGGGTGAATAATTATGTGCGATCATGTCAGCCATCGAGAAAAGGACTGTGTACCATCTCTGGAGATCCTCATTACAACACCTTTGACAACACCACATATAACTTCCAAGGCACCTGCACCTACATCGCAGCTGAAGGATGCCACCTTAACGGCACCCAGCTCACCCCCTTCTCTGTGGCGGTGGAGAATGAGAAGTGGTATGGTTTGTCATTCAATCCCAAGGTGTCTGTGACCAAACTTGTAGCAGTAGAAGTTTACGGAACCGTCTTGATCCTTCGCAAGAACGACATTAACATGGTTTGGGTATGTAACTAATATCATCATTGCAGAGTCCTCGATCGATATAATATACATAAAATGTATCAAATTTCAATGTGAGAAGAATTTTACAATGTACACAGAGTGGTTCAAAGTGATGAACCTACAGAGAATTACCACCTGAATCTGCAGCTCCTTTTTATGCTGTAGTGTTCTTTTTGGTCGTAGCAGGCAGCTCTAAAAAAAAAAAAAAAACCTTTTCATTAGCTCCTTACCATGAAACAGCAGACTGTTGGTGAACATGGTGGCGCACTTAGTGCTAAAGAGGGAAATATTTCTCATAGGAGTTAGTAGAAACCAAAAACAGAGATAAGAAAAAGAGAATATTGGACTTCCTCAAGTGACCAGAGACTGCAAATGAATGATAATATAGCCCAATGACTGCCATATGTGTAAATATGCTTGGTAACAACTTTACCATATCAATTTAAAAGTTGATGAAATGTATATGCATTGTTCAGAACTTGTTACCACTGCCCATAACTCGTAAAGCAATCTTTATTGCAAACCTCAATTGAGCGAGAGAGCTATGCAAATGAAAACAACATAATAGCAGACATTCCAGCACATGTGGCAAAATAGTAGGAAGTATGGATAATTCAAGCAAATGATTTAATCTCTGCAGGTAAATGGGATCCTTACTCACCTTCCACTGAGCCTCAACAACGGTGCAGTGAAGGTTTATCAGGAGGGGCAAAATGACATCATAGTGACCGACTTTGGCCTGAGGGTGACGTATGATCTGGTGTATCACGTCACAATCACTGTCCCTGGAACCTACAGTGGCAGAACCTGTGGTCTTTGCGGCAATTTCAACAATGACAAAGCAGATGAGTTCCAACTGCAAGATGGAACAATTACCAAAGACATTCAGAGCTTCGGAGCAGCTTGGAAAGTGCCCGTGATTGGAGCCGTGTGTGAAGATGGCTGCATCGGCGACCAGTGCCCCGTATGTGATGAATCTAAAAAAGCTTTGATGGAGGCAGAATGTGCAGTCATCAGCGACCCCAATGGTCCATTTGCGGCTTGCCAGGGTATTATCGATCCCTCCTCCTACTTCAGAGATTGTGTCTATGATGTTTGTATGTCCGAAAATGATCCAATCATGCTGTGCCACAGTATTTCTGCATACATGTTAGACTGCCAAGACTTTGGTGCAAAGATTGGGAACTGGAGAAATGCTACTTTCTGCCGTGAGTCTGCTGTTTTTATTATTCCATGTACACTGATATATCCGTTTCTAACTCAACATTTGTTCAGCACATTTACTGTAAACAATCATTCCTAACTCCTTTTTTTTGGTACCAGCTTTACCATGCAGTCCTGGCAGCCATTATGACACTTGTGTACTGCCTTGTACCGCTCCATGTCCTGGTCTGGTTGACACCCTCACGTGCACCACGACTTGTGTGGAGGGCTGTGCCTGCGATAAAGACTTCTACTACAATGGAACTGGCTGTGTTCCCTCTGACCAGTGCAGCTGCTATTACAATGGCCACACTTACAAGGTGAAAAGATAATATATAATTAATGATTAACAGAAAGATCTGATAACCTACAGCTGCGGTTTTAAATGTCCATTATTAATTAACCCGGATGTTATTCAGTTTATAAATAAAGCCTTTTTGTTTCTAACAAAGGTTTGTCACAAGGCTTATCGAGAAAAGCAAAATATGCTTCTTTCAATGTCTTATATTAATGCATCCATAAAAGCATTTAAAATATTGTATTTATATCTTGAAAAGTGCTAGCAGCATATAAAACAGGCTGGCGAACATTCAAACATTACCTGCTAAAGCATGACAGCATCGCCACCGCAATTTGCTAGCATGACTCAAAACTCTGCGTCTTGTTGTTTCACAGGGGCATTTTTCCAAGAGTTCACCATTACCATTTGACGTGCTATGAGATACATTACACTGTATAATCTAGTTAAAAGTAACATCAATTATGGTATTGGCAATTCCGTTTTACCAGGGGACATGAACAAATATTTTGAGCAGGGAAAATATGGTGTGTGTCATTTAACATAAAGCCCATGTCCAAAATAAACTAGGTTGATTCTGAATTTGTGACATCTGTCTAAATCAAGTGTTTTGCAAGTGCAGAGTTTTTATTCAATGGCATCCCACCTCAACAGCAACAGTATCAGGTTATAGGGTATAACGTTTATCATGTATTATAATAATTATTTTAGAATTATTTACCACACTAGGTGGTTCGATCTACATCCTTTAGGAGGTTGTTCTATCAAAATGTAACAAAGGCTGGATAATAAAGTGATTTAATTTAACTTTAGGGCTAGTCATATCTATGCAACAACGACAGTCGCAAGTTTCTTCAGAGGGCAAATGGTCTGTTGCTTGGAAACTTTAGCTCAGCTTTCTACGTGTCCTTTCAACCATTTTAGCGAGTTCCTAACCCTGTGTTTCATTGCAGGTTGGAGAGACCGTTATAACTGATGATTGTCACAGGATTCACACCTGCCACGCCTCTGGAATAGTTGTGTCCAAAAACATGACATGTGACCCTGACCAGAGCTGTTTGGTCAAGGGAGGTGTGATGAGTTGCCAACTTCAGCACTGCTTTTTGGATGCCAATGGGACCCTCAATCCATTTAATGGTGAAGGTGGCACCATAACAGAGCCAGGATCCTATGAGATCATCCAAAACTGCGACGTCTCTCAGACAACAGACTGGTTCAGGGTGGTGGCGAAGTTGGAGACGTGTACTCCGGGTGTCAACACAATTGTGGCCGTATATGTGTTCTTCAATGACATGATGATTTCAGTGAACAGCAAACATGACATATGGGTAAGTGTCTGTATCAAGAAATGACCTTATTATCACTTTTTAAAGTAATGTCTTCCTTTTAAGTTTTTTACTTTTGTTCACAGATAAATGGAAGGGAGCTGACTCAGACGCCTTTCACCAAGAGTGATGTCAACGTGGTGGTGTCTGACAATACATTGATAATTGACAGCACTTCCACCATTCATGTGTCCTTTAGTTCGACTAATGAACTCGCCATTAGTGTCAGTGACGTAGTAGCAGACGTGTTATGTGGGGCATGTGGTACGATCAGGCCTACTATAATGGAACTCCAGGCACTGAACATTGGGAAGTGGAAGGCTCCTGACTTTCCCGGATGGTAAGTTACATAAAATACCTTAACAAAATTACAAAGTATTTTTCTGCCAAGAAAATCAGACATTACACTGCACATATGTAAATGTCACTTTGGAGAAATCTTGCAAATTAGATGATATTTACTTTTGTCATTATCACCATTTCCTATTGGACTATACTATATGCCGATGATATGATTATTATTTGTTTATATTTGTCTTCATTAGGGTCAACTAATTTGTCAACTGAACAATTTGACTAATTATTTCTCTGTTTCTTTTTCAGTGATATCTAAATTGCAGTCCAGCAAGTTTTGTAAAAACTGCATCGATGAAAATCTTTCAGCGCTCGCCCGACGTCTGTGCTTTATTCAAATGGAAAAATGGAGACCCGCATAATGATCTTCAAACATATATATTTTTCTTTTTATCTCAAAGAAAAACGCAGCACATTTGATTAACAGAGCAGATATGTATGTTTTATTGAGAAAATGTAATATGGACTTTACATTTAAACACTGGGGTGAAAGATTACACCAGCTTCTACAGTCTCTATTATTTGTTCCTTATACAATGTTAGATATATCCGATGTTGCAATAGTAATTAAAGATACATGTAAAGATGTTTAAAGTGGTTATCACAAAAACATTGTAGTCATTAATGGAAAGAATTTGATTTCAAGTAGAACATCTTTTTAGGACCTCAGTGTCACAATTTATCATGGCGTCCTCAACAGCTCTGAGCTGAATGATAAGGGATCATTCTCATAATTTGTGGGACTGCCCAGTCACGAATTGTGGTAGAACATTAATATATGGATATAAAAGATAAAAGGAACAATGAATAGTGTAGTAAGAGGTTGCTAAAGGTGTAAATTAACTCAAAGGTTAAAACTGACACACAATGGATTATTTGACAGAGCAACTGCAAATGATAGTGATATCATTTCACACGCAGACCTCAAGGTGTTTGTTGTGTCAAAAAGCCCAATGAAGTTTAAATTTGTTCTGAAATATAAAAGAAATGTGATTTATAAAGACAACCATAATAAACACTGTTCATCAATGAAAATGTATATGGTGTCATTTCATTAACCAGAGGGCATTGTTTCTTTCGTATTGTTTATTACATTTTATAAAACGGACAAGTAAAATCAAGCAATCTGATTGGTTCTTAGCCGTGATATACTGAGCGTATACCACGGGTAGAATTGTAAGTTACTTTTCACAACAAGTCAGTATCCCTCCGCGTCTGAGAAAAACAGTATACCGTTGGGCTGCTTTTCATACTGGAACAAGAAAGCAGCTGAGAAGTAACGGGGCAGAAAGCCTCCTTTTTACGCAGCGGTCCAGACATAGACATCAAACGGCAAAAGATATTCAGTGTGCAGTTCCTTTGGCATTAGGGCAGGGGTATCTAGATACTTTCCAAGCTTTAACATAATGAATTGTGCTACTTTTAAAGCAAGCAACAATGTTTTCAAATCTGTAATCAAAGAGGTCCGCAAAAACGCTATCGACCAATCAGATTGCTTGATTTGACTTGTCAGTTTTATAAATATATTTAAATTTCTTCCGTTACGAAACAAACTTACAAAGCATAAAATGGAAACATTTAAGATTAACTTCGACCTCCGGGGGGGTCTTACTATAGAATGGAGGAGTGGATTGAGCAGTGCCTATCAACAGAAAAAAAAAGCACCTAAACTACGACATGCAGAGCTACGTGAAGAGCAGGTAGACCAACTGGAAAAGTACCACCATTCAAAAGCTTTCT